GCTTTTAGAGTTTCTAGTCACTTTGATCAACTGCTTTTCTTTATTTAGTGCTACATTACTTTTGTCTTCACACATTCAATCCATCCACCTTATTGCAACTTCCTTCTTCTCTGCCCGGCATGGCGAGGTGGTTAGGGTGCTTGACTTGCGATCTGAGGGTCGTGAGTTTGAATCCCCGTCCCACCAAACATGCTCGTTATTTCAGCCATGGGGGCATTATAATATAACAATCAATCTCACTATTTGTTGGTAAAAGAGTAGCCCAAGAGTTGGTGGTGGGTGGAGAAGGCTAGCGCAGATAGCCCTCATGTAGCTTCGTACAAAATTCAAAACAAAACAAACCTTCTCTACCCACTGCATTTATTTTTGTGCTATTTCAAACAGTGATTGCTAATACAAACACATAAAGAATTCCTGAAGCATTCATTCCTCTTCAAGCATTTTCTTCAGCTATGTTAATGGTGGTGACCAGAGGCACCTTATCTCTTCATGAAACTAATTTCTGAAATGGTACCACCTCCTCTCCCCCATACCTATCTCAACTTTCACTTGCCCTCTAGGCACTGGTAAACTTTTTAAAAGCACACTAGTCTTTTATATCCCTATATTTTTTGTGTCATTGCAGCAACATGTGCTGATCATGTGACCACCCCTCCACCAATCCCATTGCGCCATATATATTAGTGCAGATAGCTCCCTCTACCCTTGGCATTCTCGTGTATAGACATGTGTTTTACGTTCTTCATGTGCCTGCACAATTTTTGATCGTGCTTGATCACCAATTAATATCAAGTTCAAGTTTGTACTTGTTTGTTTTTGAGATGTTTCTGTTTCCAGAATTCTATTTTGTTCATATGAATTCAGTTTTTTATTATGATGGTTGATAATTTTCCTGCCATAAGTAAACAGCAGTTATAACACTAGGCCTCAGTCTCAGGTTTCACGATGTCTGCTAAGGAAGCACAGACTTTCATTTGCAGGGAGTTTGTCTTACAATCAGCCATCAATTTTTTCATTTCAAGATAGGTATTGTTCTTTTTCTCAGGAAATCTGTGGTAAGTTTTTCAGTATGTATTTCTCACTTCCTGTAGATATATATGCATGTTCAGTGAGTTTATTTTTATTACAGTGTTGTGTAAGTTCGAATTTTACACTTCTTTTACCATATATGTTACTTTAGTTTACAACTTGTGTTTAGAGTTTGTTTTTTGCATTAATTTGGTTTAATATTTTACATTTTTTTAATGTTAATGTTATTTAGTTGTAAGTTTAATATTTGGTTTAATATTTTACATTTTTTTACTGTTAATGTTATTTAGTTGTAAGTTTCTTTTTTTGTACTTTTATTACCAGTCACATCTAATTGGGGGATAAGCTTTTAGTCAATCTTTGTTTTTGTTAACTGGGTGCCTTTTTATTCTCATGTTCTTTAGGGTAAATTTTCTTTTCATATCCTATGTCTTATAGTTTCTTTGAGTCAACTTCTACATTCTATGTTTAAAGGATGTTTATCTTCTCAGTCTCTTTTGTGGTTTTGTACTTTAGGTGTTACTTATTGTTTGATGTTTTACGTTGATTTTCTTAGTTTTGCAGGTGTGTTACTTTTACACTCTTTGTAGACTACACGCTTCTAAGTTTTTGTTAGTTCATTAGTTTTATGTACTTTCTTCAATTTCTTTAGTTTGTGTCTTTTTGGCTACACTTTGACAGTTCCATTCTTGTTACGGGTTCTCTATGAGAGTTTCTGACTTCCATTTTGCTCCCCCTCTTCTCAATTTTCATATCTCCTCCCCTCCACATCTGGATCGTACCTTGTCCTTTCATCTTGCTCAGTCTGTTTGTGTCCTACTACCCAATGGAGTTAGCTAATGTGTGGAGCCCACTCAACCAGGAGTCTACTGTCATCCTTCTTTGTCTCCCTATACACAGGAATTTAAAGTCCCTTTCTTGACCTGTCCTGGCTGTATACTTATCTGCAGTCACCTTGCTTCACCATGAAGTCCTACCTCTCACTTTGAAGGGTTTTTATGCCCCAGTGTCATATTCTTTTCTTCAGTTCCTCTCAGTGAGTTTTGCCTTTCTGTTCTGGGCACTCACAGACTGTCTTTCTTCAGCTCTGTATGTGTGTTTTGTGGAGTGGTATGCTTTTGCATGTCATATTCACTCATTGGGTCTTCAGACTCACATTTCATGGATGATAGGTTTTGGCTTGCCTCTTCTTGTGCCTGGTCAGTCACGCCCACTTCCTTCTTCAGGAATCTTCTCAGGTGGGTTTCTTTTCTGGTTTGAGAAGTCTTGTACTTCCCCTCACAATATCTTATTCAGTTGGGGGTTCTCTTCACTTCCTTTTTTGGCTCCATGATTTCGAACAGATAGGCATGTTTGCCATCCCTTCTCCTCTCTATGTCCATGAGGTTCTCTATATTTTGGGATGTGGTCTTCCTTGGAAGTGCTCATTCCCTTAGGTCAGATATCCATGCATTCCCTTCATTGAATACTTCTCAACCAGTGGAACTTCCCTCACTATCCCTTGGACCATCCCAATTTCCTCGTTTCCCCTGAATTTTTGTGTTGGTGGTCAGTCGAGGAGTCTACTCTCCATGTCCATATGTTGGTATCTTGGCAGTTCATAGAGCTCTCTATCCTTTCCTCCCTTTCCTGTAGGGGAGAAAGGTTTAGTTCTTTCTGAAATTCCACTATCATCAGCTTTATCACCTAGAAAGGGGGAACCATGTACCAATCTCTGTCTGGTCATTCTCTGGATTTCATGTATTTGGCCAATGACCTTGACATGACTATTCTGGTGGATCCTGTTCCCCTAGTTCTGATTCTTGTGGCTGATCTCTTATCACGTCCCTACCAGGTTCTCCACAGAGTGGACTCTTCATCCTCATGTTTTTCTGTGGGTATGCAGGGAACACTGCATATTTGTATGTTTCTCTCATTCACTGGTATGTTGCACTTTCTTCTTTTTAGTCTTCAGTTTCTCACCCTTCAGCTGTTGAGATAGATGCTTTCAGTCAAGATTGGAGGGGTCTTCACCTATATGCCTACCCTCCAATTTGACTTATCTTCTGGGTATTTTCCTTTTTCCAGACCAAACCTTGTTGTGTTCTGCTGGTTCTTTTATATTGGCCACTCAAATGTGGTTCCCTCGTCTCTGGCCCTTACTGGAGCAACACACCTTATCATTTTCTCTGTCCTGTCCACTCCTCAGTCATCCCCAATCTGACATTTTTTCATCCAGACATCTCCACACTCCTTCTTTCAGAGTGACTTTTGTCCAGTCATGTGTCTCAGCTCAGGGGCTCGTCCCTATATGCCTACCCTCCATTCAGACTCCTCCTCTTCTGGATATTTTCTCTTATCTAGACCCCTCCTTGTGTTCTGTTGGTTGCTCCAGATTAAGCAGTTCCGACATAGTTCCCTCTGCCCTGGCCCTACATGGAGCAACAGACCCTGCCCCTTTCTCTGTTCTGTTCATTCCTCTGTCCACTGCGATCAGTCATTTTTCATCCTGATGTCACCCTACTCTATCTTTCTGTCTTTTGTCTGTTCCTATGCCTCAGCTCAGAGACTCACTCCTTTCATTGCCTACACCTTTTGCCCTTCCTCTTTGACTATGTACAGTTTACAACTGATTGATCAAGTAACTAAATATATGTGATAACTAACACTTATCCAACAGAAAACAAAATGGACTGATTAACTGCTAGCTTCAATAGACTATTCCCCATCCCTGAACTAACTGTCTACTCATATTTACATTTGTAGACTTGTTTTTAGACACTTTGCAAATTCTTTTGACAACTAATATTCCCATATATTCTAGGGCTTCATTGAATCTAAAATGATCCACCCTTTAGCTAACATCTAAATTTTAACATTGAAAATGTAACTTACAACAGTACTATCTCCAGCATATAGAATATTAGTACATTAATACATATAATATTTTTGCTATATGAAAAAACAATATCTTCAACTTCTATTACATATTACTTTACTACATGTGGTTTAATATAATATTACCTTGAATCTATACTATGTATTCACATTATCGGGGGTGAAGAGTAGCAAATTTCCTCATGTTTGAAATTATCTTGAACAAAACTCCTTCACTGTCTTTTTTCCAAACTTATTAGTAAATGCTGGTTGAGTAACACTGGAAAAACCACAAAGAAAAATGATAATAAATCCCACCATAAAATAGGTAAAAAATAAAATAATTAGGATTAGGACAATTTGACTAGAATTGCACCTTTTGAAAAGGAAATTTCTCATGAAGTGGAGGAAATTTTTAGCCTAAAGAAACAAAAATTTCCTATTATCATGAGTACATTTTATTTTTATACTCTGCATTAGGAAATTTCATAATACTTCATTTTTATATACCTTTGGCTTCAATCTGTTTCACCTGTTTACCTTTCCACATAATGATCATGACGAAGGCATTCTTGTGACAGTGGAACATTTGTACAACTTTAGTTGAATACAAGCAAAACAAGTAATTGTTTTCAATAACTTTCTGTGCTAGTCATGTGAATTTCTTGCTCTCATTGCATATCAACTCTTTCTGTTCTTGTTCTGTATGGATGTGTGAGTGCTGATTTTCAAATGATTTTTTTAGTGATAGCTGACAGTAGCATCCAAGGCCATGCTAACAGAAGGCAAACTTGTAAGGCTATAATTTTTCATAATTATCCAGTGATATTTCTTAAAAGGAGGATCACATTGGTAACCTTCCATTCATCAGTAATTTCCCCAAAGTCAAGAAATTGTACAAGATGCAAACTTTTCAGTACTGCTACTGGTATTATGAAGTTTTACATGTGTATGTAGTTAGTGTTTCGAAATTTTTGATAATATTGTATGGTACATGTAAATGTTTTAAAAAGTACATCTAATAAAAATATTAACTTCTGAACAGAGGTTATTCAGTTGATTTCACTGTACACTGAGTGTTGCTATTAGTAGTACATACACAATTTTTATTCCAGTGAAACGATTTTGTGAACCTACAAAGCAGAGGAGACCTTGGATTATTTGGTGAGCTGTTTTTGCAGAATTTTTTCATAAATAACTAAATATTTTCCATAAATTCTTCTGGATTGAATACTGATATAATTTGAAAAGTTTTTGTTTTTTAAATAATTTCTTGTAACTTAAGTTTTTTCTTTTCATGTACAGTTACTGTGTAGAAAATGAATTTTAGTATTGATTTATGTTATTAGAGCTCATCTTCCTAATGTTTTAGTTCTCACTCTGGCAATTTCTTGAAAGTGAATAATTTTTTTTGTAGGTTTATTTAAAATTGTGAAAAGCTATCTTACAGTTCTTTTTCCTTTTGTGTTATTAAGTTATCACATTTTTAGTTTAATACGGTAGAAATCTTTTTTTTGATACAGTACTTCCCTCCACTCACAAGATTATAAATTCTTATATATTGTTGCCCTCTATATGCAAATTTTTTCTTTACGCGTGCCACAAGCCTTCCACTCTTCCCTATTGGAATGAAGTGATTCCAACATGTGTCTCATGTAAATCATCATGCATCACCTCTCTGCCAAAAAGAGCATAGTATACTCATGTGATGCAGGTGACTCCCTCTATGCACCTCTACTAAACTATCACTTCTCGTTTGGCAGCACTTGTGTTTGGATGTGTTTTTATTTTTTTCTTGATTTAAACAGTTTGAGATACAGTTTCTTCTTGAAGTGGTTATACTTTATAAACTACCCAATTTTTCTTTCGATTTACGTTAATTCTAACTCATTATAGTCACCTTTTTTTACATTTGCCTTTTCTTTCGACTCTCGAATCATGAATTCCGAAGTCACTGTCACCACTTCGGAAGTCTCAATTTTAACAGGTACATTATCTCAGGCCTCAGGTGCTGATGACCCAATGGGAGATTTATCAACATTTATTCGTGGAGAGATTGAATGTTACATGGGTCAACCTCTGTTTCCTGTTATTGCCCCACATCCTCCTGAACATGTTGAACGTGTTCAAGCTGACGAGGACTTTGATCGCCCCTGTTTCCACCGTCTGATTTTGCCTTCCTTCCCATAACTTTCCTGAGGATTCAGTTCAGCCTTCCACGGTTTTTGGGATGTTATTTCTCAGATATGTGGTGTTTTATCCCTGTTGAGTTCTGTTTTACCCATTTGGGGGTGGGCCCCAAATCTCCTATCAGTTTGACCTATGCCCAATTTTCTTGCCTATGTCTTACCCTCATTACTCTTTTACAGTATCTATTTCACTATTCATCTCCTATCTGAGGCTCTTGATAGAAATCCTGAGTGGTTTTCTAGGGACATCCTCTCCCTCCTTGCCTCCATGTTGGCTTGTTTATCATATTCGGCTCTGACTTTACATGCATTGTTTCTCTGTTGTTGGTACCTTCTGGGCCGAGATGCTGTCTTATCAAGGGCTTGTTTACCTACACCTTATCTCTGGGATTTACGTATGGCCCATTTTTTTTATAGCGTTTTGTCTTTGATATGATCCCAGAATCTTTAGAATCTCGGGTGACATGAGTCCAACAACAGTCTACCCTTTCCCATCTGGTAGTCCATTTATCTCAGTCAGAGCCAAGTGTGGTACCCTTTATGGTTTCCTGTCTTTAACCTTCCCAACCCTCACCTGTCCCCCTTTCTCGAGGTACCACAGCTTGTCATTTTCCTTGACGATTCACGTTGCCGATGGTACTGGTGACTATCTGGTGGACTCTGATCCAGTGGGAGCTCGACTTGAGGCCTTTCTCCATCAGTGGTGCCCTTTCTTCACTGATGTTTGGGTTCTTCAAATTTTGTTGAAAGAATTTGAGATCCCATTTCTTGCCATGCCTCCCTTGTCTCCTGTACTTGTTTCCTTCCCTCCACCTCAGGATCCTGTTGTTTGTCAGCATCTGTCAGAGGTGGTACATGACCTCCTCATTCAACAGGCTATCAAACCTGTTCCCCATCATTCACTGGGTTTTTACTCCAGATTATTTGTTGTTCCCAAGAAACCTGGGGACTGGAGGCTTGTCATTGATTTGTCCTGTCTCAATTGCTTTGTTCACCTTCCCCATTTCCCCATGGAGTCCTATCTCACCCTCCAGTGGGCATTTTTTCCAGGTTTATGGATGACCAAGATGGATGTCGCCAATGCTTACCTGCATATTCTCATCTCAGCACAGTCTCATCCATATCTTCAGTTCGTCCATCATGGGGTGGTTTACCAGTTTTGCACCCTACCCTTCGGTCATGCTTCTGCACCTAACATTTTCTGTTGGGTGGTCAGAGCTTTTGCTCTTCATCTTTATGCCCTGCGGTTGCATTTCCATTCTTATATGGACAACTGGCTTTTTCTAACCCATTCTGAACTGGAGTTGGCCAGTCATACTCTTCAGGTCCCTTCTCTTATTCCCTGCCCTCCTTCGTCAACCTCAGTCACCAGTTCTACATAAAGAGCAACATCAGAAACTTGGACACACCAGCCACAGTAGGTCGTGCAGCTGGAAATCCATGAGCATGTGACCACATGTGAAAGAATTTCCACTTCCATTAATATACCTCCATGGAAGAATGATGTATGGACTGAACCAAATGGAAAGCTATGCAACAGGAAAAAAACGATCTCCTTGTTAAGGACCGGAAAAAAGCCAGGCGTGAACTGCAGGGACCAGGGGTTTTGGTCTCTTTGATTTTGGGTTATCGTGCAGCCTTGTTCCATACCTTTCATCTTTCCTGTTACTGTTACTATGTTAAGGATTTGTCATCCTCCCTGATGACCTACACTTTCAGACTGGGATGTTAATGTGGTCTTCTATTCCCTTACTTTACCTCTGTTTGAATCTCTTTCCTCTTGTTCTGTTTCACCTTTCCCTTAAAGCTTATTTTCTTCTCCTCTTGGCCTGTGGTCATTGATGGTCTAACTTGTTCGCCATCAATGTTACATGCACACTTTACCATGCTACCTATCTTCTCCTTTATCTGTATCGTTCTTCCTCCTGAGAACCTCGGCGGCTCATGAGGATAACTCCTTTTTGCCTATTTCCCTTCCCTCTATCTCTTATCTCTGCTCTCATCCTGATATGGATAGACTTCTATGTCCGGTACATGCCCTTTATTGCTATATTGCCTGCACAGCTTCCTTCCGTGGTTCCCATTCCAGACTCTTTATCCCATGGCAGTTTTCTTCATCTATTGATGTATCCCCTTCTATCCTCACCAATTGGGATAATCGTTTGATCCAGTTGGCTTATTCCTCATTGTTCCCTTCCCACAAGAATTTGTTCAGAGTTACTTCTCATCAAATTCAACACCTCACCTTTTCCCTCACTTCTTGTCTTCATTGGCCATTGGAGGAAATCCTGCAATTGGGCATGTGGACCACACCTAACACATTCATCTCCCATTCTTTACATCATATCACAGTTTTTACTTCCTCTGGTTTTTGCCTTACACCTGTGGCCATTCTTCAAGCTTTGGTGTGACTCTAAGACTGGGTAAGTTTATATTAATGCTTTCTTTTGGTTCAGGGGCTCATCCTTCATACTTTCATTACAGACATCCAGACATGGTGCCTGGCCAGGTTTTCTACAATTCCAAATCTGCACTGTACAGCCATGTTGACTTGCACTTTCCATTCCATGGCTTCACATTGCTCACCATTGAGATGGGGTGTTTCACAAGATTGCTTGAAGGTGAATAACCTCGCAATGTTTACTTAATAAACTAGTATGTTCCAGACCGTACCACCCATGGACTTACTGGGTGAAGCAGAAGGGGATAGCTGCTCGTCCCTTCCATGCTTTGATTGAATAAATCGGGATGGTCGGCTTTTCAAAATAGGGTTTCGTGATCACCCATTGCACTGTCTTAGGTGATGACATTCCTCTGGACTCTCCTATGCATTTTCACCCCCTTTCTTAAAGTGGAGTGTGGGAGTCCTTACCACTTACCAGTTCTAAACCACTAGGGTGGTCAACCATAGAGGCACCCTGCTGAATGTGTTCCATACAAAACAGACAATACCATTTAGTACAGAGTAGGGTGGTGGTTTTCTGCTGGTGTAGATGACATGCTATCCTTCAATGTGCATTATACAATTATCATGGATTGAGATTTCGAAGTGCAGTTCACCCCAATGATTGGGAGCCCTCTTCCTACCCCTGTTCAGATATCAGTACCCCACAGCTGGGTTTTGGATTTAGAGTGAACCAATCAACATAAGTCCTCATGCATGCTCAAGGTTGTCTATCTTCCTCCCTTAATTATGCTCCCCTTTTTTGTGGGTCACGGCCGTGGTAAGGGGACTTGTTCCAGTTCTGTCCTTTGCTATCCCTTTTGTATCTTTGTCAAAGGATGTTATTGTTTATCGGATGGTTCCAGTCTGTTTTGCTATTGGGTGAGTAGATTTTGTTTACATAGACTTTCTTTCGATACCAGATGTCAGGTTCCCTGATCAAGATCTTCCTCAAATAACATTTCATGCCCTAGGGTTGGAATGGTTTTAGATTCCCTCTAATCTTTGAGGCTTAAGGTGAAAATGGTATGATGCTCATCCTACACCCATGTGGATGTCTGTTCCCACGGACATTGGTTTTGGATGTAGTTGACTTACCGAGTATGGTCCATCATGCTCTAGCCATTCTACACCATGGGGCTTTTCCTTTGTTTACCCACTTTCCTGCTTGGTGGGATTGGCTTGCTTATATCTAATTAAGAATTTGGATAATTATTCTCCCTCAATTCTCTCCCACTTGGATGTGCTCCTCTCTTCTTCCTTCCTTTTTCTCCACTCTTTACAGATGGGTGAAGAGGATACCTGATCAGAAGTGGTGTGATTCCCCTCTTCAGATTTTCCGATCTGCCTCTGTCATCTATGGAGGTATACTTCTGACACTTTAAGGGGGTATTTTTGTTCTTTCCTTGCACCGGTGCCTCCTCATCAATGTTGGATTCCAGCTTGTCTTGTGAGAAGAGGGAAGTACCGTATCGGAAGTTATAATTTCCGATTGGTACTTCCCACCCATCCTCCCCGCACTCTTCCAGTGCTCCCTATTGGTGCATCAATTTGTTATAATCCACTCCGACATTTCCATGGCTGTCTCTTACATCAACCATCAAGGAGGAGCTCATTCTATGGTGTGCCCCTATGGAACCCCTACCATTGGGTGTCATATTCCATTTTTTTTTTACTGGCTTCTCAACCAATTCAACTGGGATTAAAGTGTTTTTGTATGAAGAGGTGATTTATCATCTCAGAATTTAACATTTTTCTAATCTGATAATGTATTTCCAATAGATGTGTACCTCCACACACATTCCCCTTATTTCTAGGGAATCTTTTTTTTTTTCTTGCCTCATCTAAGCATGAGGTTATCACCAGTCCAAGTGCATAGAAGGAGTTCTGTGCATGGAGGTTGTGTTGCCTTGCTATTGGTGGAGGGTTATTGTTGCATGATGACATCATTATGCATATGTGCAGCTCATGTTAAGCCCATTAATTTAGGTGGGGGTTATTTCCAGGCAAGTGGCATGCAAATATCATGGGCAGATGTGCAAGGGAAGTAGCATTTGTGTCAGGATGTGAGTATCTATCAGAAATACATTTTCAGATTAGGAAAATAAATCCTTTTTGTTAACAAGAAGAATAATGTTCCCCACTGTTCCCTCTCAATTTAAGCACTGCATAAAGTTAAGATCTGAAAAGGTGAGATGCATCTCCAGTTGAGGTAGTTTTGTTTTTCATTATAGTAGAGGCTTAAGAAAGTTTAAGAAAGGTGTTGATGAATATTAGGGGGTTCAGGGTTGGATTTATTATTAGTTTTCTATTTATTCAGAGAAGTTAGGAGTCAGAATTTTTTATTAATGGGCCAAAAAGTCTCATGATGTCCCAGAACTTATGAATTATAATTTATAAAATCTAATGTCTGTCCTCAGATGATATTTTATTACTATTCGTTAACAGATTTTGAAATAAAGAACATAATTTGTGGATACATTTGCATCGAAAACCCAAATTTTTTGCTAACATTGCATTGCAATCAGTTTCCTTTGCTTATAAGCAAATGCAATGCCATTTTTATTTTAGAAATAACACACAGAATGACAAAATGTAGTTATAAAATGACCCACTAGACAAACGTATTGTAAATATGCTCTAATTCAAGGGACTGGGTTGACTGCAGATTTTATATTTATTTATCACTATTTTTAGGAAAATTACTGATGAATTGTTTCAATGGGCATTTGTTAGTTTCATGTACATGTAAATTTAAGAACTATTATGCTTATGTCTGTTTCCTTAGGTTTTATGATACATCAAAACAAGGTCTGGGTGCCCTAGTCATTCATTTTGCCAATGTGTTTCTGGCAGAATTCTTCCACGGAGATCCTTGTACTTGGTATGTTTGAATCTTGAGCTCAGGTTTAGTATTTATACTTATATTAGAATACATACATTTATCCTGTCCTTGATTTGCATAGACAGTAAAATGTAAACTACTTTCTCACCTTTATATTTAACAAACTATATCATTTACTCTTGAAAAGTGAATATTTTATAATTAGATATGTCAGCTATTCATTTAATCCATTGATAAAAAGTCTGCCAAACTAAACTTTATGCAGTTGTTAGAATAACAGAAAAAACAAAGTGAACTTTCATTATAATGCAGTATGTATCTGATTTGTCTGTATATTCTTGTAAATATGTAAAAAAAAACATGTAGAAAAAAGTAGTAGTTTCAATTATACAGTTGTGAAGTATATCAAAATGTAGCAATAAAAGGATAAATTTTACTGATACTTTATATTTATCTGGCCAGGTATATAATCAGCTTTCTTTTGGATTCTTCTATTGGATTATTCATTATCTTCATTGGAATACGACTTACACAGTATTTTGCTCGAAAGAAAGGTTGGCATAATATTGTTTTTGGAGAATATGGTAAGTGTTAAAACAGTATATACAACTATATTAAGTTTTTGCAATGTCATCTGAGTGAGACCTGGTGAAACATTTCTTTAGTAAAGTTACAGTATGTTAAATTTGCTGCTTTGTAAATATGTGCTGATAGCTTTCAGATCATAAAATATATCATCATACTGTTGTTGGCATGTTAGCTTCAGTTGTAACTTATATTACAATAAAGGAAATGGCTCTAGCAACATCAGCCATATTTGGCAAAGTCTATTCACCATTCATACATTTGATCAGACTTGACCTTTACATATATCCTCTCACCTGCTGACACCATTTCTGTCATATTTAATCCCTGTGTCTTTTGTCTTTGTAACATTATATAAACCTTGTATTGCTTAGTACTGATCATATCCGATGAAGACAGACCAACGTTCTGTCATAACATGTAGCATGTTCCGCTATCAATAAAATTATACCTTATGTTTAAAAATCATTGTTTGCCAGCATATTATTATATTAAAATTTGATGACGAGGAACCCACTTTGAGACTAATAATGGTTGGAGACGGCTTGAATGGGTAATGAAGAAAAACTTTAATATAAGTTTAACATAACAGTAAATGTACAACGTTTTGACAAGGTTTTGTCATCATCAGGTACAAGTAATTTACACTGACATGGATATATATATATATATACAGTATTAAACAATAAAGTCACATGACCGGAACTGTTGTGAAACTTAGAAGAGGTATCTAGGCACCCC